CAGTCATCCAGCAAGCAAAACCTTTAACTGTGGCTCCATCTTCAGGATTTCTCTGGTTACACCTTGCCACAGTACCTTCACAGCAGTGCCATAGTTTTTTTCTCTCTCACAGTGTGGAAGGCACTCTCTTATATTGGTCCTACAGCTGTTGATGATTTTCAAGACTGGGCATCTCAGTTAACACTGCTGGAGACCATTCCTCTGGGAAGGGCTAGAAAAACCAATTATCAAATTTTCTGACACCACATAGATCCAATAAACTTATCTTCTTCTGTTATTTCACTATCATGTAAAATTTCTAGTTTTCAAGGCAGAGGGATGGGATTTGAGAAGTAATCTCCTTAAAGCTCCTGTAGGCAGTTAAAGAATTTAATTATCCAGAACATTCCTTTCTCTAGTGTGTAAAGATATTTATAAAGGAGATTACAAGACCTTTGCTTGTTATATCCTCAGATTAGTTCGTTTAGATACACATCTTGTTTCTATTTGCAAATTGCCCTTATGTCTATTCTTCTCAGGCTGATCCTCCCTTGTCCTGGTTCTATATAGTGTTCATTGACTGTACATTCTATGTCTGTTCTCTCCCCCTAAGTTATCTCCCTATCTTCACCAAAGTGGTCTTATGCAGCATTTATCCTTTTGGGACTTGAATTATTTCACTCAGCATAACGCCCTCTAGAATTTCCCATGTTAAGTTGTATTTTATGAATGCTATGTCATTCTTTAAGCTGAAAAACATTGTATTGTATGACTGTACCACAGTTTCTCTACCTGTTTTTTGGTTTATGGGCATTTGGATTAGTGCCATCTTCTTGCTATATATATGTGCTAAAGCATGCACGTTAGTTGGAATACTTTCAAGTCAATTGACAACCATTACCACAACATACACCAAATTCAGACTGGTTTAAGCAATAAACTCAGTTTTTAGTTCTTATAACAGGAAGTTAAAGGTTCATTTATACAAGATCTCCTGACTTTCCTTGCATTTTCTTTGTAACTTTCCCCCCTTTTTTTGGTTTGGTTAAATTATGTTGTTGTTATATGCCATCGAATCACCTGCAACTCACAGTAACCCTATGTACAACAGCTCTGAAGCCTGCCCTTTCCTGAGCCAGTCTCACTGACTCTGATACATTTATACCCATAACCCCAGTTACTGTGTATCAATCTATTTCATCTGGGGTCTTCCTCTCTTGCGTTTTTCCTCCACCCTTCCAAGCATGATGTCCTTCTCCAAGGATTAGACTCTCCTGGCTACATACCCCAAAGTATGTGAGATGGAGCTTTAAAATTCTTGCCTCCAAGGAGAAACGTGTTTCAACCTCTCCAAGACAAATCTGTTTGGTCTTTTGGTGGTCCATGGTATGCTCAATATTCTTCTCCAACACCACAACTCAAAGGCATATATTTTTTCTCTGTCATCCTTAATCATTGTCCAGCTCTCTGACGGCTAAAGTATAGGAACACTAAAATAATTGTGTCTTAAAAGGATATAAATGTCTTTATTTCTCACTTAGACATCTGAAGTTTTTAATTTAAAGATATGGCTGTTCTGATCCATCAAGTCCTTAGGGATAGTTCCCTTTCAGCAAATTGGTTTGTTATCCCTAGAATGTGGCCCTTAAATTATTTATGGGTTAGGATGATGGTGATGATGGATGAAGTAGAATGAAGTAGGAAAAAAAAGAAGAAAATGGGTACAAGACGTGTCTGTTTTAAGGAAGGGAGCAATGTATGGCTTAAAATTGGGAAAGATATGCACTGACATTGTATCTTTTCTTTATAACTATTCAATCTGTATGCTGAACAAACCATTCAAAAAGCTAGACTCTATGAAAAAAGAATATGACATCAGGTTTGGAGGAAGACTCAGCAACAATATGTGTTATAGAGATGATGATCTCACTCACTGAAAGTGAAGAAGACTTGAAACACTGTTGAAGATAAAGGACTATGATCTTCAAAATAGATTATATTGCAACATCACAGAAAAATAAAACCCACTGGAAAAATAGGCAACATCATGACTGATGGAGAAAAGATTGAAGTTGTCAACAATCTCATTTGACTTGAATCCACAATCAAAACGCACAGTGAAAGCAGTCAAGTGAAAGAAGTGTGTTACACTGAGAAAAATCTACTGTCAAGAACCCTGCCACATTGTTAAAATCAATGATGACAATTTAAAGGTGGTCTTTTCAGCTACTTGTAATGCATATGAAAGATGGACAACACATAAAAATGATAGAAGAAGAATTTATGTCTTTGAGTTGCGGTGTTGGAGAAGAGTATTGAATACTCCAGGGACTACCAAAAGAACAAAGAAGCCTATTTGGAGGAAGTACAACCAGAATGCTTCTTAGAGGCAGAGTGGTGAATCTTCTTCTCACATATTTTGGGCTTGTTGCCAGGAAGGGTCAGCCTTTGGGAAGGAAAATCATGCTGGGAAAGGTGAAGGATCAGAGAGAGAGGAAGACCCTCAAAAAGATGACACAGTAACAGGCTCAAGTGTATCAGAGACTGGGAGGGTGGCACAAGATTGGGCAAGATTCAGATTTGCAATCTGTAGCATGGATATAAGTTGTAACCATCTTGATGGGACCCAACTGCAACAAAAAACACAACCTTGAAACATGCATTTACTTTGCAACAAATATGTTGACAAAAGGCAATAATTCCCTTTTTTGTTGAGATTCTTGAATCTAGAATAGAAATTCCAGTCCTTTTCAAGAGTTTTTGTCTTGTGAACACAAATAAAGTAAAATACCTATTAAATAGGTGTGATCATTAACTCAACAGAAAAACATGCCATAGAAAACTCCATGGAATTGCGAGTTCTAGTGTCAGGGTTTACAAGAAGTCCCAAATGCCCAGAGCACACAGGGACCTTTCTGCATGTCACAGAACACCATAACCAATTCTCCTGTGGATAAAAGAAAATGAAAATGGCCTTATATCCCTATAAAGATACATTTTTACAGAAAGTGACTGAATTACAATGCTCTAAGCTCTCTGCTCCGTGGTAACAATTTCCATTAACAGCTTCTCCTTAAAGTTAGTATGGAAGATTCTAGATGTGCTTTGGTGAGTTTCTGACTCTACCAAGGGGAGATTGCTGTGAATAATGCAAAGTTAATGAATTCTTAAGAAGGTTTAGTAAAACTAGGAATTGTTATTTAATTTAGAAGCCAAAATGAAATAGTTATCAACTGGGACTTATTTAAAAAAAAAATAGGAATTCAGTTAAAAAATTTTAAATCATGTGTTTGACTATTTTTTGACCTTAAGAGTGGCTTATTATAAGAGATGTGAGAACTTTCCATATGAGAGATCATAGATTGTTCAAATACAGTAGAAAAAGAAAAAAGACGATAGATTGAAGTATTGCAATGCCACAAAAATAACCATATTTTTAATATTCCCAAAATATGGATAAAAATTACCCCAGTGAGAAAGAATATAGTAAAAGCATAAGGGCATGTCAGAAAATCTTTCCTTTCTTCACTTTTATTCAGTCTTCTCATTTCCTCTCTTTTAGGAAGAAATCCTGTTATAAAAGGAAACACTAGAAGATCCTGGAATGACCAAGTTTATGGTCTATTTCTTTTTTTCTGGCTCTGGTGGGTTATAGTCTATTTTTAAGAAAAATCTGAAAAAAGGATTTACAACAAAAATAAATGGTAAAACCAAATTTTATTTGTTTAAAGTATGGACTGCTTTTGACATTCAATGAGTGTTCAATGAACTGTTGTTCTTAGAGGTTATGCACAAATTCAACCATTATGCCCCATGTTTTATATTTTGTCTTGTTACATATTTGGTTGATTTGAGTATTTTATTTTTGAATCTTTGCAAGCTTAGTGAATACCTATTTTATTGTTTTAAATTTTATTCAGTTCCATTATGATAAACTTTGTTTTATGTGTTGATTATGGGTTTTATTCTAGTTTAAGAATATACTTGGAAATACTCTGGGAAAAGCTTGGCTTGGCATTTTCAGATGAATTTCTATGTTACCATATGGTAAGGGCTAATGATTTTTGATATATAATAATTGCTGTATAGATACTTATAGATATCAACTTACAATGAGCTCTTAATTTTATTTTCCAATAAAGATTTAGAAAACAGAAAAAATATTTCCTCATATATGAAACAAAACTATAAAATTGCAATTACAAAATCAGTGTGGTGATGAAGTTTATGAAGACACAAGTAGTAATAGAAGGGAATAGTAAGTCAGAAGTTAATTTAATAAATATGCATTTATGTGAATAAAATGAAACTTTCAATGTGTACAAACTTTTGATCATCTATATGTTCTATAAAGAAGTCTTGGTGGTAGTATGTTACATTTTGGGCTACCAACCTAAAAGCCAGTGGTTGTAATCCATTGGTGGCTCAGAAGGAGTATGAGGGGAAGTTGCCTTCCTTTAAAATTTACAGCTGTGGAAAATCATTGGAAGGTTCCCTGCAGCGGAACAGACCCTATGGCAGAGAGGGGCTTTGTCTCAACATATGTTCCATAGAGATTTGGTGGCACTGTAGTCACTGGTCAGTGGTTCAAATCTACCAGCTGCTCTGCAGGGGAAGTTGTGGCACTCTGCTTCTCTAAATTCTATGGGGCAGTTCCAAATTGTTCTATAAGGTAGATTCAAGTGAGAATTTGACTCAGGGGCAATGGCCCTTTTCCTTTTATTTCCTATGCCACTGAACGCATGTATAGTCTCCTTCTCTTGGTTTATAATGATTGACATGAGCATTTATAATCTCTCTATCCAGTGCTTTTTATGACTACTAAGTCAGTCATTCAACATTGCTTAACATAATTATTAGTATTTGAAGCTGCTGTACACTTACAAGGATGAACCAGACCAGCATCTTATATTCACTTAAGTAGATGGATTCTACTGTTCCATAATAAACATTATAAAATTTTTCATTATATGGGTATTTCATTTTGAAGTCAGCATCTCTTTTGGAAAGAGGGACAGAATATGAGTAATTTCACAACTATGAGTGGATTTCTTCTCATGAGTTTTTCTGGCAATGTTGTGGTAGAAATGTCTCATGCTTCTCTGTTTTTAGTCTTGTACTTACTAGCTTTAACTGGAAATATTCTCATTATCACAGCAGCTTCCATAGATCACAATCTTCACTCACCCATGTATTTCTTCCTGAAGCACCTCTCCTTTTTGGATCTGTGTTATATTACTGTGACTGTACCAAGGTCCATTCGTGATTCTTTTATGCACAGTGGCAACATTTCCCTATGGGAGTGCATGTTGCAGTATTTTGCATTCACTGCTTGTTGTTCTGCTGAGGTAGCCATGCTCACAGTCATGTCCTATGACCGCTATGTGGCCATCTGCTTTCCACTGCGCTATGAAATCATCATGGATGTCACCACCTGTGTTTATGGAGTCTTAGGAGTCTGGATCTTTGGGGTCATTGCTGGAGTCATGCACACAGCTGCTACTTTCTCCATCCACTTCTGTGGTCCCAATATAATTCATCAGTTCTTCTGTGATGTCCCTCAGCTCCTAAAACTGTCTTGCTCCAATGACTACATCAGTGAGCTTGGAGTCCTTGCTTTCCTGGCTGTGGCAGCATTTCTTTGTTTCATCTTCATTGGCTTCTCTTACACACACATCTTTTCTACCGTGCTGAAGATCCCAACTGCTGAAGGTAGAGCCAAAGCCTTTTCCACCTGCCTGCCCCACTTATGTGTTGTCACATTATTTTTCTCTACTGGAGCTTTTGAGTTTCTTAAAGTTCATTATGACTCTCCTGGTGGACTAGATTTTTTGCTTACTGTTCTTTATACCATTTTGCCTCCAACACTTAATCCAATCATTTATAGTCTGAGAAACAAGGCCATGAAAGCAGCTCTAAGAAAAGTTTTAAAGAAAGTAAAATCTATCTGTTTTCATGGGACACATCTATAAATTCTTGATTGGGAGAGAGACATACTTATGCTTACTGGGATGTTTAACAAAGCCAATTAAACAGTGAATGCTAAATAAAGAATTAATAATAAAGAAGGTAATGTAAATGAACTATTTTTGAGTAATATAAACACTGACACATAATTACATACAAGTAACTCATGTTAATAGCGTGGATTTAAATTTTACCCTACAAAGTCAGATGTAGAAAAATAGACATTTCTTTAGTTTCGTAGTTTTCAATTTAATTTCTCTTTCCTATCTGCTTTTATCCCTTGAAAGAGGATGTCATGCTTGGGAAGGTGGAGGATCAGAGAAAGAAAGTAAGATCTTCAACAAGACGGACTGACACAGTGACTGCTCCAATGAGTGCAAGTGTGTTTGAAAGTGTGACGATGCCACAGGTCAGGGTTCAGATATGTTATTCATAGGGTGCTATGATCATTTTCAACTCGATAGCATCTAACAGTGACAGCAGCAACATCTCCTTTTATCAGGGAGTCAGACAACTAAATCAATTTCATACTTTCCTCACTGTTTTCCTGAGCTGCATTGCAGTTTGGAGTATTACATGGTATAAAAGCTTTGAGGAGGGTCATCTCTATGTTATCATAGAATTTAGAGATTCATTAAAGTTTCATTCAGCAAAGGAAACACACTCAGTATGTTCAATCTGTGATACACAAGTGTCATCTTAAAAAGCTACATTACATCATTTACTTTGTTTCTTTGGGTCCTTCAATACTCCTATAGGTGGATTATTTAAATAAACAACAATCTAATAAAGCATCTGAGATAAAGGTTGTCCAATCAAAAAATGAAGGAAGGAAGAAATAGAGATAATAACCATTAAGACAAAATATGTTAGGAAAATATTAAATAATATAAAAGAACAATATATTATAACAAAAGAAAGGTACATTGAAAGAAAATAAAATATTGTATAAGTTATAGTGATTCAGATTTCAAGCACTGTAGATAAAGCAGCAGATATAACAGAAAGAAAACCAGAATTACTGAACTGATAGATCAAACCAAGGCTTTCTCTCCAGAATGGATAAAAAGAAATGCAATTATTTTAATAACTAATGAAAAATGAGTGTACCAAAGAAAAGAAGGATGCTGAATTTATTTAAGATTTCCCCCAGAAAGATCTATTGATCAATTTGGGCAATCTTGGAGGAAGGGGTTTATTCACAATATTTAGAGAAATAATTTCCAAGCCTTTTGATATAATAAGTACACAGGTCTTTAGGCTTGAGAAGCACTTTGACTTGACACGTTAATAATTTTTAAAATTTGCTATTAATAATAGTCATTATAATAATTTTATAATTATAAAGTTATTAATTATAAAGGATCACATGATTCCCAAACTCATATGGAAATGCATAGTTGGGCACAGAACAGAGATCTGAGAAATTCTTGAGAATAAACAAGTCTGTCTTAGGAAGAGTGAAACCAATCTTCTCCTTGGAGGCAAGGAATTTAAAGCTCTGTCTCACATACTTTGGGTATGTGACCAGGAGAGACAGTGCTTTGGAAAAGGACCTTAAGCTCAGAAGGGTGAAGGGACAGTGCAGGCAAGGAAACCCTGGAAGAGATAGATTGATACAGCAATTGGGACAATGGGGTTAGGTGTGTCAAAGTCAGAGTTCAGGACAGAGCAGGCTTCAGAGCTGTTGTACATAGGGTCACTATGAGTTGCAGGCAACTTGATGGCACACAACAACAACAACAACAACAACAACAGAAGAGTGACAAGACTAAGGAGTAATGTAATCCTCAGAATACCTAAGATCAAAAGGAAGCATATGCCCAAGGACTAAGTTCAGAAGACAGGTAAAGTAAGGATATGAAGAATAGAAAATGGAAACATAGGGAGGAAGTGGGATAGATGACATTACATTGTGGAGATTCTAACCAATGTCAGAAAAAAGAAAATGTATCATTTGTTGGATGGAAAGTCAATTTGCTTTGCAAACTTTTACCCAAAATGGGCTTGAATTGTTGAATGGAAAAATGATCTGTGCTGTAAACTTTCATTTCATTCACCATAAATATTTTTAGAAAATTATGATCTGATGGTCATCTGAATGTCTTCCTTTGTGAAGAGTCTTTTCATGTCGATTGCCCATTTTGTTATTGGATTATCAATCTTTTTCTTGTGGAGTCCCTGTAATATTCTAGAAATTTTAGCTATGAGGCTCTTGTCTGAGATGCCATTGCCAAATGTTTTCTCTCAAGCTGTAAGCTTTCTTTTCACCCTGTTCAAAAAACTTTTTTTATGTGCACAGAAACTTGATTTTTAGAAGGATGCATTTGCCTATTTCATCCTTTCCTAGTTGTACATTTCTTGCTGTATTTGCAAACTTATTTATGCCATAGGATAGGGCTTCTAAGTTTGGGTCTCATTTTGTTTCTTATGATCCTTATGGTTTTAGGTTTTAGCCCTAGATGTCTGATCTACCTTGAGTTGATTTTTGTGTATGATGTGAGACGTGGATCCTGTTAATGCAGTTTAATGCAGATAGATGTCCAGTTTTGCCAAGCACCATTTGTTGAAGAGGTTGTCATTATCCCATGAAGAAATTTCAAAAATCACTGGCAATCAGAGAGATACGAATCAAAACAATAAAAACAATAATGAGATACCATTTGACCCCAGCAGCAGCACTAAAGATTAACAGAACATAAAGCAATAAATGTTGGAGAGGATGTGGAGAGATGAAAACTCTCATGTATTGCTGATGGGATTGTAAAATGGTAGTAACAATCTGGAATGCAGTATGGGGTTTTCTAAAAAAGTAGAACATAGAAATCCCATGTGACTGAGCTGCTGGAAATATACACTAAAGAGATCAGAACTAAGACAAGAACAGAGGTGTGTACACTGATGCTCACAGTAGTGTAATTCACAGTAGCAAGAAAAATGGAAACAGCCCAAATGCTCATCAACAAACGAATTGAGAAATTGTGATACATTTACACAATGGAAAACTCTGCAGCATGAAGGAATAATGTTTAGTAAAATACTATATAAGAGGGTCTAGTGAGTATTATACTGAATTAAATAACTCCATCTCATAAGGACAAGTACTGAATAAAACCATTCTTGTGAAAATAGAGGGATAGCTGACAAATATGTATATCAATGTTCAAAAGGGGAAGAAGAAAAGGAGAAGGAGGTGGAAAAGGGGAAAGGGGAGAAATGACTAGGATAAAAGAAGTTAGTGGGTAGATTGAAAGGTGAAGGAATTAGAAAGATTCAACAGAGACTGAAAAAACAGCGTGATATTAGGCATAGATGACTAGGAATTAATTATATAAATACAATGCTTATGAGTGATTATAGAAGACACAAGGTCTATTAACAATTGTAAGAAAACCAATTTGAAAATCAGTAGAAAAATCTTTGAATTGTCCAGGATAGGGTCTGTACTTAAAGAAAAATATAGAAAAAAATTTACAACTAAAACAAATGATAAAAATAATTTTTTTCAAATAACATAATTGTGTTATAACAACATCAATGCTCATCTGAAACAGATAAAACTATGAAACTTTGTATTTCTCTGATAAATTATAGTCAGTATAAATGATAGTTGAAGAAAATGGTTAATCAGATTAAAGAAGAAAAACCAATTTAAAATTAGGATAACCACCTGGCCTACTGCCTGGAAGAGATCTATATTTGTTCCCATTCCAAAGAAAGGCAATCCGACAGAGTGTGGAAATTATCGAACAATATCATTGATATCACATAAAGATTCTTCTGAAGATTATCCAAAAATGACTGGAACACCACAGAGAACTGCCTAAAGTTCGGGCTGGATTTAGAAGAGGCTGTGGCACTAGGGATATTATAGATAATGTCAGATGGATCATGGCTGAGAGCAGACAGTACCAGAGGAGTGTCTATCTGTGTTTCATTGACTATGCAAAGGCATTTGTGTGGATCACAACAAAGTGTGGCTGGCTCTGAGGAGAATGGGAATCCCAGAACACTTGATTGTGCAAAACTTATACTTGGACCAGGAGGCAGTTGTCAGAACAGAGCAAGGAAACATGGCATGGTTCAAAACTGAGAAGTGTGTGCGTCAAGGATGTATCTTATCTCCATATCTTTTCAATCTATATGTGGAACAGATCATCTGGGAGGCTGGGCTCTATGAAGAGAAGTGTGACATCAGGATTGGAGGTAGACTCATTAACAACCTGCGTTATGCAAATTATACAACCCTGCTTGCTGAAACTGAGGAGGACCTGAAGCGCTTGCTGCAGAGAATCAAGGACTGCAGCCTCCAATATAGATTGAAGCTCAACATTAAGAAAACAAAGACTGTCACCACTGGGCTGATTGGCGGCATCATAATGGATGATGAAGAGATTGAGATTGTTGACAGCTTCAGTTTGCTTGGCTGTACAATCAACACTCTTGATACTAGAAGCCAGGAAAGTAAAAGATGAATTGCATTGAGAAAGTCTGCTGTCAGAGACCTCTCCAAGGTACTAAGGAACAACAATGTCACTCTGGAGACTAAGGTGTGCTTGATAAAGACCATGGTCTTCACAATTACTTGCTATGCATCAGAGAGTTGTTCAATGACTAGGGATGATAGAAGGAGAGTTGATGACTTTGAACTTTGGTGCTGGAGAAGAGTATTGAATATACATACCATGGACTGCTAGGAGAACAAACAAGTTCGTCCCTGGAGGCAAGGATTCTGAAGCTCCATCTGACATACTTCGCACATGTTGCAAGGCGGGATCAGTTCTTGGAGAAGGATGTCATGCTTGAGAGGGTGGAAAGACAGAGCAGGAGAGGAAGATCCTCGATGAGATGGATAGACTTTGTCACTGGGGTGATGGGGATAGGTGTATTGGAGAAAATAAGATTGGCAAGAGATACAGCAAAGTTTAGTGTTCTTGTACATTGGGTCGCTATGAGTCGCAAGTGACTTGACAGCACATAACAACAACAAAAAGTAGAAAGCTAG